AGGGAGGAGGGAGAAGGAAACAGAGAGGGGAGGGGAGGGGGGAGAAAGAAACTAACAGGGAGGTGGGGGGGAAAGAAACTAACGGGGGGGAGACATTGACAGGGAGGGGAATTGACGGGGAGAGAGAAATTGACAGGGAGGGGGGAGTGACAGGGGAGGGAGGGGGAATGAGAGTAACAAGGGAGGGGGGGAGAAGAGAGTGACAAGGGAGGGGGGAGAGATTGACATCCATCACACACAATCACACACAATACACCCCTTACACACAAAGACAATGAACCCCTTGCACACAGAAAAACACACAATGCATTACACACACAATGCATTACACACACACACGCAATGCAACCCTTACACACAATGCATCCCTTGCACACACAGAAACACACAATGCATTCCTTACACACACTCAATGCACCCCTTACAGACTCACACACTTCATCCCTTACATACACAGAAACACACCTTGCAGCCCTTACACATACAAGATTCACAAAATGCATTCCTTACACACAAATCAGGACATTCCCTACACACTCCATCCCCTGTGAACAAACTCATTGGTGGAAAATGAAGGTGGACCCTGGGACCCAGACCTTGAGCTGTGTAAAGGGCCCCCAAAAAATGGAGCTGCTTCTCGTTCTCCCAGAACATTGATTTGTGTGACCACAGTTACAAACAGCCTCCAGAGATCCTGTTATACACCAGACCAGTGGAGCCAGACTGCAGCTAGAGCCCATCATCATCCTCATCTGCTTGTAAGTAGGTAATCTAGTATATTATTCGTGGCACTAATCTCTAATTTACCTCACATTAAAGAAACACTATAGTCCCCAGAACCACTGCAGCTTAATGTAGTGGTCCTGGTGTCTATAGCCTGTCCCTGCAGGCCTTTTAATGTAAACACAGCGGCACTGCAGCACTAGCGTTAGTTAACATGGCAGGTCATATGGGTGGGGCATTGCGATGTCACGGGGGGGAGGAGGGGGGGCGTCAAACTTTACTTTTGCCTAGGGCGGCAAAAATCCTTGCACCGGCCCTGCCTTCAGTTTTCTTAAACAATCAAAATGCTTCTTTAAGAAAACTGAAGGCAACAGTTATATCCATAGGAAAAGTTGCCATCAGGATAAATGGCTAGAAACGATTCCAAAAAGTCAACTAATTAGGGTTAGGAGAAACTGCACAAAAAATTCAGACTATAAGGAGCAAGCAAGACACTTAGAAAATAAATTCCTAATGACATCTAAACCTTAAAAAAATTCCTCTAAATAATTATAAATTTTCTTTTATCACTCAATACAATACACAACACTGGAAAATAAAAAAGATTCTTAATAAGCATTGGAACATCTTATGCAAAGATCCCATATTGGGTAAAGTGTTGCCTAAAAAAACACCAATTATTTTTAGGAGAACTAAAAATATATTAGCACCCAGCTATGCATTAAAAATTCCACGTAAAGGTACAACATCCAAGGTTAATGGTTTTAATCCTTGTAACTCCTGTAAAGCGTGTAAAAATCAAAAATACACACAAAAGAAAGAATTTCTGAGTTTTATTACAAAGGAGAGATTTAAGATAAAATCTAATATAAATTGCAACACCAAAAATGTGGTTTACATGTTACCATGCCCATGCGGGAAACAGTATGTAGGGAGAATGTGTAGAAAACTTAAAGAAAGAATTTTGGAACATCAGAATAATATTAGAAAAAATTCAACCAAACGTATAGTACCTCTACATTGTAACAGTTGCAATAAATTTAGTTGGCAAAGTTTTTCCTTCATGGGCATTGAGCACGTGGACCCTTATTGGAGAGGAGGGGATTTGACCATGAAACTCTCACAGAGAGAAACCTTTTGGATAAACAAATTGAAGACACTCCAACCTTTTGGTTTAAATCTGGATATTGATTTGTGGAGTTTTTTGAGGATTGAAAAAAAAGAGTAAAATATATAAATAAATAGAAGAAAAAGTGCAGTATAATTTGGGGTTACACTTTTATTCACCCAGTCACTTATGTATTTTAAAAAGAGATGCCAAGGGGCGTGGCCTAACCTCGGAGTGGGCTGGACGTGGCGGGGTGTAGTTCTGCTTCGACGACGCTGTTAAACAGCTTCTTACAGCAGGCGCCCCGACGGAAACGCGCCCAGAGACATCATTTTTCGCTTTTTGCACTATACCACCAAAGAAGCCCTGCTGCGCAAAGGAAGAGATATGGCGATTAAGTATGGAGGAGCTACCATTGCCCTGTATCAGGATCTGGCGCCCAGCACACTCCAGCGCCGGCGGGAGTGGAAGCCAATTACGGGGGCCCTACGTTGGGCTAGCATACACTATGCATGGGGCTTCCCCTTCCGTCTCATGGCGTTTAAGGAAGGCTGGATGCATGTGCTACTGCCAGGGGGAGACCCTAGGCGTCTCTTTGCTGATTTGGGACTGGCGCCCCCTTTGAATATTCAAACAGTGCCGATGCCCATGGAGGAGTTGCGGCACCTACCAAGTGAGTGGCGGGCAGCAGGAACCGGAGGCCACTGAGGCCAGAACAGGATGCCGTATACCAGGAGACCACCACTCACATACGGTAGACATGCCGGGCGGTATGTTGAAGCCGGGTACCGGACATGGGGATAGGTGGGGGGGAGGCTGTGGGTGAGAAAGTTACCCTATAGGGGGGAGGGTATGCACCTGCTGGAGGGCTAAGACACTAGGTGGGGAGGGCCAGGGGGGATGGGAAGGGAGGACTGGGATCTAAGTCCCCGAGGAGGGAACGCTACCCTGGATTGTACAAATCCACTGGACTGTGGGGATGAGGACGCTCGGAGTGCATGGAGCAGAGGGACAAGAGGGCCACCCCAGTTATGGGGGACACAGAGAATATGGGGGCTTCCGGGGTAGAGGGAGACCCTGAGGCGGGCTGGCAAGGGGTACCACAAGGCCCCGTCGCATGGGGACAGGGGGGGAAGCAAGGCCCAGGTGTCCCTCACGCCCATGGAGGCAGAGGGCTATCAACCTCCCCGCGGTGTGCACACTGTAGCTACTCGTACCGAGAGGCGGAGGGGTAAGGAGTGAGCCGGGAGAGGTGGGCCTCCCACATGGCGGCTGGGGGACATGGAGGGAGGTCTCTAGGGCATAGGGCCCAGGGAAGAGGTTGGACTTAGCAACCTGTTGGGTGCGAGTCTGGAGGCACTAGCCCGGGGAGACGGATCAGGGGAGGGGCAGAGGGGACTCAAGGGACTTTAGGATGGTGGGGATCAGACGGAGAAGATGGGTTCGACATGGACGGCCCACAGGGGGACCGGGGGGGACTTCTCCCATAGCATGGGTCTTGGAAGGTTATCATGACGGTTAAACTTACTTCGCTGAATGTGAGGGGCCTTAACGCCCCGACCAAACGGCGGCAGCTCTTTCGAGAGCTGAAGAGAACGAAAGCTGATATCGCTTTTATTCAGGAGACCCATCTCCCCAAACTGGGACGCTTCTCTCTAAGGGATCATACCTATTCGGCCTCGTATGAGGCCAGAGCTCACCGGAAGCGCAGTGGGGTGGCCATCCCAGTGCGCAGTAGCTGCCCATTGCAGGTTACTGGGACGGAGGCAGACGGAGAGGGACGCTATATCATTGTGTCAGGAGTGCTTTATTCCCATACCCTCCACCCGGACTTCTGGACCACTTTGGGAGATAAGCTCCGGAAGCTACCAAAGGGCATGATTATGGTAGAAGGGGATTTTAATGCAACGCCGAGCCCGGCAGTAGACAGAAGTACCCACAAGGGTATGCCCCAGTCGCAGGGCAGGGGGAGACAAGATAAACTGCTACAGGAGTTTATCACAGGTTCAGGTTTAGTGGATATTTGGAGGGCCCACCACCCGAGTGCGGTTCACTATACTTATTACTCGGCCCCACATGGCACCTATTCCCGGATCGATTTCTTTTTAGTCAATGGTAGTTGCCTCGCCCGGACCACGGACTCGACGATAGGGACCATTACGTGGTCTGATCATGCTGAGGTTACAATAACCCTAGGGAATTTATGTGCAGCGACCCCCTGGACGTGGAGGCTTAATACCTCATTACTGCGGGACCCCACAATTACGGAACAACTACATAATGAGATAGTGGAGTTCTTTAAGGTTAATGACACACCTGACGTTAGTGTACCCACGATCTGGGCAGCCCACAAGGCGGTAGTAAGGGGAACCCTTATACGCATAGCAACAAGATGGAAAAAAATCAAAAACACAAACCCTAGAGAGGCTCCTTAAGGATTTGAAGGGCGCAGAGCAGAGACACCAGACGCATCCCACAGGAGACACATTGAGAAGGGTAGAGACTATTAGACACGAAATACGAACCCTGTTGTTAGACGATGTAGCTAGGTCCCTGACGTGGACTAAACGATTTTACTACGAAAAAAGTAATAAAATGGACACTATTTTAGCCAGGACTCTGCGGCCTCAGCAGCGCCGTACGCATATCACATCCATCCGACATGCTGACGGGTCCTTGAGGACTATGCCTAGGGAGATAGCAGAAGTCTTTAGGGACTTCTATCGGACATTATATAACCACACGCCCGCGGATGGCAAGGAAGGCACCCAGGAGGTGGACCGCATCAACAGATTTCTAGTTGGCTTGGGGCTACTGAAGCTACCGGGAGGGGTCGGGGCACAACTGGCAGCAGAGATAACGGACGAGGAGGTGGACAGGGCGATCGGGAGGTTGGGGGGAAATAGGGCCCAGGGACCGGACGGGTTTGATGGCACCTATTATAAGACATTTAGGGAGGAGCTGGTGCCCCATATGCGAAAACTTTTTAATCATTTTCGGAATGGGGGCACACCGACCCCAGACATGACCTTAGCTTCAGTGGTCCTGCTACCTAAACCGGACAAGGACCCGCTGATGCCGGAGAGTTATAGGCCCATTTCCCTTATAAATCAGGACATGAAGATCCTAGCTAAGACAATGGCCGAGCGACTCTCCCCATACTTGACACATCTTATTAACCCTGACCAAGTGGGTTTCATCCCTGGCCGTCAATTGTTTGAAAATACCCGTAGAAATATTGATCTCATCTGAAAACAAACGATGACGAATACGCCTACTCTGGCAGTTTCTATTGATGCTGAAAAAGCTTTCGATAGAGTGCGTTGGCAGTATATGTTTACGGTGCTACGACACTTGGGTTTCCCCGAGGAATACATTACCGTGGTACAGGCCATGTATTGTAACCCTCGAGCACAGGTGCAGGTCTCGGGAGCGCCGCTTTCCCCCTTTCCCCTACATCATGGGACCAGGCAGGGATGCCCACTGTCCCCGTTGCTCTTTATATTATCCTTGAAGCCTTTTCTCCAGGCGCTACGGAAACACCCGGGGATCCACGGGGTGCGGGTGGGGGGCAGGGAATTTTTAGTAGCGGCTTATGCCAATGACGTCCTGCTGACGCTTACGAGACCTAGGGAATCTTTGACAGCATTGAGGGAAGTCCTGGCACAGTATGGGGAACTTTCTGGATTTAAAGTGAATATGGAAAAGTCGAGCGTGCTTCCCATCAGGATGCCAAGAGACAAGACTGTACGCACATCTCTGCTCAGCTGCGCGGGAGTGGGGGGAGCTGACCTACATTACACAATGGGAGCAGGGCCTGGGGGAGGAACTTGAGGGAGAGGAGTGGCAAGAGATCTGGGAGGCTAGTAGAACTACCTTGATATGTGTAGCATTACAAGAACAGGCCTTTAAGATGATGTTCAGGTGGTACGCGACCCCAGTACAACTCTTTAAAATGCACAAAACCATCATGGAAGACTGCTGGAGGGCATAAAGGAACCTACTTGCATATGTGGTGGGGATGCCCGAAGCTCAAGGGCTTCTGGGAGGCTGTGAAGGCCCTCCTGACCCAGGTTTTCGCTAGGGCCCCAGATTTAGATCCCTGGGTGTATCTCCTCGGCAGGTCAGTCGACGGCTGGACGAGACGGGAACAGACTCTACTTCATAAACTCACCTTGGCAGCACTGAGAGCAATAGCATACACCTGGTTAAAACCGGAAGCCCCACCAATGGCTAGTGTATACTCACGGATAAGAGAGGTGAGACTTATGGATGACTTGACAGCTAGAATACGAGGATCCTTGGGAACATTTCGGAAGGTCTGGGGACCATGGGATGAGAGCCCGCTAGGGGGATAGGAGGAACGGGGGACCTAGGGGGTGGTGGGGGGGAGAGGGGGTCTCGTGCCCCGTCTCTTCCCCGGGCCCACCCTCCCTGGCAGCCTTCTCCTTGTCGTCTTATTGCCCCGTCTGACTTATTTCTTTACTCTTCTCTTTCCTTTCCTTTACTCTTGTCCTTACTTTCTACTGTGGTTCGCAGCCGGGACCCTTACTGGAGGGGTACGGTGCCGAACTACGAAGAGTGGCTTTGTACTTTCAAGCTATTTTGTACTCTGTTTCAAAATGTGCTGTATCTGTTAGCATAAGTGAGAGTGTTCTGAATGGCTTGTACTCGCTACCCAGGTTATACACGCGTAGAGGCTAAAAGGGGCACACATATATAAAATAAAATTAAAAACGGGGGCGACGCCACTATTTAAGGTGTCGAACCTTGACACAAATAAAGAATTATAAAAAGAGATGCCAAGATTTTGATGTGTATATATATATATATATATATACATATATATATATATATATATATATACATATACTTTTGTATACATGTATATATTTTTTCTCTATGGATATGGATTATAAAAAATTTTAAAAAATTGTAATCCAGAAAATGGAAATTAATGTATATCCATTGTGGAATTAAGGTTATATTTTTTGTAATTATATATTTTTTATATATTTTAAATTTTTATGTTTTTTTATATATATTTGTTTTTTATGTATATATTTTTTATATATATATATATATATATTTTTTATATATATATATATATATATATATATTTATGTATGTGTATATTTTTTTACACATATATGTATGTATATTTTTTATATGTATTTTTTCATATCTAATGAGAAGTAAATCAACAATGGATATATGTTTTTTTTTCTCTTAGTTTACATATTTATATATTATAATTCCTGTTGAAATACATTTATGTGGTGCCATCCAGAGTGTGCTTAATTGCTCCCCTTTCTTTTTGTCTATCTACACACTCTCTGGAGTATTTGAAACAGTAAAATTGAACGAATGTTATTCACTTCCGGGTTCTGGAACGCAAGATGGAATGCACGCGGCGTACGTGATGACGTCATGTACATGATGACGTCATGTCGTCCAAAGAAGCAGGAAGTACCGCCCGGCGAAAACAGAACACTGGCTGGAAATTATTCAATGATTATAAATGGGTATAAAAGAACTGTGGGAGGGAAAAGTTTTTATATTCTTATTCTTATTGTTATTGATACACTGAGTCCCTGAGGAAGTCCGGATTTAGGACGAAACGCGTAGGACGCCCAGTGGTGATATTTGTTTTATACTTATATGTAAGTTATTCAATTTCTTTTTGTACTACATTCTGGAGGTGCACTACATTTTTTTGTATATTTCTCTTTTTGAGTTATATATTCCAATCCATTGATGGGAGTGTGAAGAGGAGAAAACACAGTGATTACTGGAGAAAGGATTTTATTCAGAGCTGTTTTCCATCCTAAACTTTGTGAGTAGCCAATTGTAAATCAAATAGTGTTACTCACTCTCACACAGTTAAACGCTATGTTTTTCCATTTCATCTGTATTTAGCAGATTATCCCCTATTCTATTTTATATGGTCCATTTATCAATGGTCTATTACTGCTGGGACAGTGAAATAATACAGGGGAAGGCTAGTGCACTGCAACTACAAGAAGTTGGAGACTGCCTGCTGCTCTGCTAGGAGAATTAGAAGATTGTTATTTAATGTTCAGCTCCCTGCAGATTCTGGAACTTTCTGCAGGAGTGTGAACAAGCTCTTGCATCCTGCCAGCAGAAGGAAGAGAAAGGATTGCCATTTCTGTTCTGCTGCTGTCCTACATTCTGTTGGATCTCTCTGGAGATATCTGCAGTTACAGAAGTCACTCAAACGTACTGTCTCCAGAGATTGCTTCAGGATTCTCCCTTATAACTGTATCTGGGTAGCGCTAGCTACACCTAAGGGCCCCAACGCTGTGCACATAATTAACCTCCAGGTACCTATGAGTTTAACTGTTCAGATGTAGTAATTGATGTTATTAAGGGAAGTTTGTTGTCTGCATTCTTGCTGCTAAAGACTCTTGTGACTGTATCATTCCTACATCAGGGACTTTATCATCACTCAGCATTAGCCAGGAACTGCATTGTTATTTCTGCTGTTATATGTATATCTCTTTAACCACAATACAGTGTGTTTTCCATGTCTGTAGTTATTTCATGTCTCTGAGTTATTAAGTGGAGGGTTCTCATCTACTCAGTGGGGTGGGTTTCCCATAAATAGAACTTGCACTGAATGGAGGCACTGCGTCAGAACAAGATGTCCCGATCTCCCAACTATAGCGGAGGCTCAGGATCTCTGTCAGCGACAGAAGAAGGTGTAACTGCTGCTAGCTATGGCTTGTTGCCAGGAGCAGGGCAAAAAAGGGTTACATACATAAATCTTTAAAATTTATCCTCTCCAGTTTTTTTTTTTTTTTTAATTACATTTAAAAAAAATAAAATAAAGCTTTGCTGGAGAAGGGGAAGTGCAGAGGGTGATTGGTATGCGGACTCTTGGGGAGGAGGGTCTTGTGGACTGACTTGACCTCTAAGTGCCCAATACACCACTAGGTGCTCTATAGTGTAGACAGATATTTGAACTTGATACCCTATTTTCGGGATTAAATTTTGATTTTGAACTGGCACTTTTTAAATAATTTTTTTTATAAGTCTTACGGAATTTTGTAGAATTTTTATGATTTTTAAGAAAAAGAAAAGAAAAAAATTTATAATTCATTCCCGTATCCATCTATTTTAAACTATATTTGTGGAATACTTTATTACAATTCTTTGTTTTGTTTTTTTCAATGTCTTATTTTTTTATTTTTATAATAGTTCGTATACATCAAACTTAAAGGGGGGGCACAGAAAGTAAAAGGGGGGGGGTACATACATACATTCACAGAGTTATATCAGGTTCTCGACATTGCAAGTCGTATTTACATTGCAATTATGTATTGGCTATACCTCATGTTGGGTATATATTGTAAGTTGGGTATAGACCACGGAGTATTAAGGTTGTTTTACTTCAACATATGATGACTTATGTTAGCATGTAATAGCCTGTTGCACAAGGTATCATTCGTTGGCCTAATGGGTAAATGTGAGGCATGTTCCCTGCGACATGCAAGTAGATTCTGTTGTGTCTGGATTGGACATTGCGGCATTTTGTTGTCTATAGGGTGTACTGCTCCAACTCTTGTAACCTGGAAGCTGTCCTTTTCATTTCCCTGCCTGCCATTGGTACCCTCGTTGCTCTAGAGGGTTATTGGTGGGGTAGGCATGGTGAGGTAGCTGCTTTAACTATGGTACAGGTCTTTTAGGTCCCTGTTGGATAGATCAATAGATGAGTGTTATCATATAAATTGGTCTCTAATCTGAACCCATCTTTGCCAGCGCCTAGAGTGTTTATGTTCCTCATTCCGGAGACGACTAGCCATTAATTCATAATTGCTTGTTATGTCAAGTCATGTTAAAGGACCACTCTAGGCACCCAGACCACTTCAGCTTAATGAAGTGGTCTGGGTGCCAGGTCCAGCTAGGGTTAACCCATTTTTTAATAAACATAGCAGTTTCAGAGAAACTAAGCCTTCCCCCTATTCCCTCTAGTGGCTGTCTGTGATTTTCACAGTGAGAGCACGCCAGCGTCCATAGGAAAGCATTGTAAATGCTTTCCTATGAGACCGGCAGAATGCGCGCGCAGCTCTTGCCGCGCGTGCGCATTCAGCCGGCGGGGGGTAACGGAGGAGGAGAGGAGGCAGAGAGCTCTCCGCCCAGCGCTGGAAAAAGGTAAGTTTTAACCCCTTTCCCCTTTCCAGAGCCGGGCGGGAGAGGGACCCTGAGGGTGGGGGCACGCTCAGGGCACTATAGTGCCAGGAAAACGAGTATGTTTTCCTGGCACTATAGTGGTCCTTTAAGACCTCTGTTATTGTTGGGCTTTGCGTTTGTTTCCACCTGTGTGCTATTGCTATTTTTGTTGCTATGAGGCAATGGGTTAATATGTGTAGTTCGTCTTCTCTGGGTGAATAGGGGAACATATGGAGAAGGTAGCATGCTGGAGTTTTCGGAACCCTAACCTTTACCGTCTTTATGAGGAACTGTTCCAATGCGTCCCACAATTTTGTGATGTCTGGGCATGTCCAGAATACAAGGAATAGTGTGCCCTCTTGGCCTTGGCATCTCCAGCATAAGGGAGTTGTGCCTGGGAATATGTGCGCCAGTCGCATAGGTACCAGGTACCACCTCATAATTAGTTTACAGAACGCTTCTCTATGGGCCAAACTGTGTGTGGCTTTTTTACCCTTTCTAATGCCAGCTGCCAGGTGTTTTGGTGGATTTTTATGTTTAAGTCCTTCTCCCAGAGGCGCATGTATGGGGGTAATTCCTTGTCTCCTAGGTGCATGAGAGACGTGTAGCAGAAAGACAAGGCTTTGATACCCTTTAGTTTCCCTTGGCATTTGAGGGCAAATCGTGACATGGGAGATATTCTTCCAGTGTGTAGTTTCTGTTCATGTAATATGTTCTTTATGCGTAGGTATGTGAACAGTTCCCTGGAGGGGAGGGTGAAGGTCTGTTGTAGTACTGGGAAAGGTACTATAGCAGCATTACCGAATAGTGTGTTTACATAGGAAATGCCATGCCGGATCCATGTGTCGAGGCACATATCTGTCGTGTGAAGTGTTAAAGTCTGTAGGGGTGCTGCATACATGAGGTCACTGTTTACTCCCAGTTTTAGGACTGCTTGTGACCAGATACGGATCAGTAGATTCGTAGGAGGCAACATATCAAGGTTTTTTGGGCGACGGTTGAAGTTTGCCCACAGGGCCTCCTCCACCGTTCCCTGTGTCAGGCAGGCGTCTTCCAGCGCCAGCCATATGGGAGGTGCCGTTCTTTCCAGTATCGTTATGCCCTGCGCCATTATTGAGGCTCTATAGTATAGCTGAATATTGGGTACGCTTAAGCCTCCTTTCGAGAAAGGTCTCCAGAGCAAGTTTTGGGAGACGTGGGGGGGCTTCCTCTTCCATATGTGTGGATTGGAATCTTTTTAGTAATGTGTTCGGGATCTGTATGGGCAGGGTTCGGAAGAGGTATAAGATGTGCGGTAAGATCATCATCTTTACCGTGTTTATGCGCCCCAGCCATGACGTGCCTTTATCTTCCCAATGTTTAAGTTGGATAGCTAGTTTTTGCAAAAGTGGGATATGATTTACCTTAGGTATCGATTTAGTTGAAGCGGGTAATTGGATGTCGAGATATGAGATCGACGCCTTTCGCCAATCGAATGGGTATTTGGATTTGGATTTTGTAGTGTGTGTTGGGGCAGGCGGAGTGCTAAGGCTTGCGACTTTTTCGCATTGTTTCTGTAGTAAGACAATTTACCGTATCTGTCAAGTAGTGTTAGTAAATGGGGCAATGACTGAGAAGGGTTCGTGATAAACAGCAGGATGTCATATGCAAATAAATCAATTTTCATGGTCCCTATTGGGGTGGCTAGTCCTTTGATTGTATCTGTCATTTTTATATGTTTAATTAACGGTTCCATGCATAGGATGAAGAGCAGCGGGGAAAGAGGGCAACATTGTCTGGTGCCATTAGTGATTACGAATGGCCGGTGTAGGAAGCCAGTGTTGTATACTTTGGCCATAGGGTTCGAATAAAGGGCCATTATGCTGAGAGAGGGAACCCCATTTTGGACATTACTTCTGACATATACGACCAGTTTAGGCGATCAAACGCTTTTTCAGCGTCTAGCGCTAGTAGTATGCCCTGTTGTTGGGTAGTTTGTGCCCAATGAATTAGGTTTAAAAAATGTCGAGTGTTGTCTCCCGGTGTCCTGGACGGGACAAAGCCTGCCTGTTCCGGGGAGACCATATCTAGTAGCATCGGTTTGATGCGCGTAGCTAACAGCTTTGCATACAGTTTGGTGTCTGCATTCAATAATGAGATTGGTCTCAGGTTCGCGCATTCTTTTGGGGTTTTCCCTGGCTTAGGTAATGTTATTACATGTGCTAGGAGCATTTCTGTTGGGATGTTCTCTGTATCTTTGAAATGATTAAATAATTTGGTAAGGTGCGGTGAGAGTTGTGTGTCAAGTGTCGTGTAGAAAGAGTTGGGGAATCCATCCGGGCCCGGTGCTTTACGTTTGGGAAGAGAGCATATGGTACTATGCACTTCTTCTTTATTACAATTCTTAAAGGAACACTATAATGTCAGGAATACAAACACACTAGTGTTTAAAACATATTTTATGTGGCCAGCCCCCCTCCCTCCATTAAAAACGTACCTTTAGTCCTGCACCGCACGGGTCTGCCGTGGCCGGCTCCAGCCCCGCTCAGCCTCCATGGCTGAGATGAGCAAAATCCAACATTGTGCATCACAGACTGAGGAAGGTGCTCTAGTGGCCGTCTCAGTGACTGCCACAAGAGGTCTTCCTCCGCAGTAATGTAAACACTGTCCTTTTTTTTCTTAATATGCATATTTGAGGCTTGCTTTTTCGCTGCATAATATATACCACTAGTCCATTTCAATAAGTCATTTATTTTATTTATTCGATAAATGTTTTTTTTTTTTTTTATCCTAGTGACTCCTGCATCCCTTATTTTTCTGGATATCCAAGCCTGAATAGGCACCTTGTGAGTTCTATTCCTGTTATTCTATTTTGTACATGTCCCATACAGAGTATACTATGTTTTTTGTTTTAAATAACTTTTAAATATTTGCAGAAAAACTGCACTCTACTCCTGTTTATAAGTATTGTTTACAGTGCATTCACTACTTGGTGCAATTATCCTATTATATTGTTATATTTCCAGAACATGTTTTTGAATCTACAGCACTTTTAAAAAACTACTTTGTTTACTACGCTATATATATGGGATTTAAAGGTAGATCATCTGAGGGTCTTTGGGATAATACCGCCCCTATACCAGTCTCGGATGCGTCCACCTCTAGTAGGAAAGAATGAGAGGGATCAGGATGTCTTAATATGGGTGCTGATGAAAAGGCTTTCTTGAATGCCTCAAAAGCAGCCCTAGCTTCTGGATTCCAATCTGGATGATTTCTTCCCTTTTTTGTCATGGACGTGATAGGAGCAGTAATAGAGGATAACCTTTGATAAACTTCCTATAATAGTTGGCAAAGCCTAAAAAACTGTGTATCGCTTTTAGACCAATAGGTAAGGGCCAATGTAAAATGACCTCAAGTTTCTCAGGTTCCATCTGAAAACCAGAACCAGAAAGTGTATCTTGTCTTTGTTGAAAATACATTTTTCCAATTTACAGTGGAGAGTGCAATCTATAAGGAAGCGTATTACCGGACCTTAGAGTGGCCGGGTTTAACGCTTTAGAATAGTCAAAGAAATAGCCAGGGGTCAGGGTATACCAGAGTCAGGGGATACCAGAAAGAGTCAGGGGATACCAGAAAGTGGACATACGAATAAACAAGCCGAAGTCAGGATACCAGAGAGAAGAGTAGTCAAAAAGGGTAAGCCAGAAGTCAAAATACCAGAATAACAATAAACTATATAGCACTAGAGGGAACCAAGAAAGAACCACAATAGGGCGCTGATAAAGTGTAAAAGGCGCCCTTTTATAGTGTAGTGCTTGACATCAACGCTCATGCATCACGTCAAAGGAAAGGGCGTGTTTGGAGCGGCCCGCATCAGACAGGCTACGGCGAACCCCGGAAATGTCGGAAGAGCAAGCCATGCCGCGCGGGTCCGGAAGAGAAAGTTAAGATATTGTTACAGTGGGTGCATTAGGCCCTCTGCGTCATGCAACCAAAAGTCGCCTAGCAAGGCTGTGTGGTTTCTCTAGACTGCAAAGTTTTACTTTCAGGGAGCTGGAGTGGTTTGGTTGCCTATAGTGTCCCTTTAACCAGTCTAACTAGGAATTAGGTATTTGAGGCTTCTAGACATGGAAAATTAAAATACAGATTTCCACAGAGATTTGAACTGTATGATAGCTTCCTTAGTTTATGGTATCAAGAATTGCTACATTTGGCATTAGTGTACCTAAATCGTTAATCACAAAAATGGGATTTAAAAGAAAATAAAAGCAGGTTCTACTGAGATTTGAACTCAGATTGCTGGATTCAAAGTCCAGAGTGCTAACCATTACACCATAGAACCTATACACCATAGAAATAATCAGCAAATATTTTTATGTATGTCTCATATGACAATGAAAATTATAATTATGACAGGTTGCTTAATTTTACATCCTCATAAAATAAAAACTGTCAGAACTCGTTTTTTTACTTTAATTATTTTCTGCGTAGAAAGGCATCTCTCTAAATCTACATCACTTTTGAATGAAATTAAACTATAAGTCTCACCTTTAAGGCATGCACCTTTCTTATTGTTGTTAACATTGGGTGTGTTCTTGCCCTCAGTGCAGTCTCCAGCGAAACATAAATTCACAATTCCAAAGTAGAACACTTGTGTGACTCGTTCAGCATAAATTATATTTATCCACAACAAGAACCTTTATCAAGTTAACACATAAGAATGACATGAGCATATTTAGGAGGGGCTCAATGAAGGTGAGGTAAGGACCCACATACATAAATCACCAGTGCACAGTAAAGAGCAAAGATCAGATCACTCACAAGGCTCCAAGAAAAAAGTGCAAATAATAGAAACATAAATAAAAAAAGAACAAAGAAAATAGAGATATAAAGCAATATATCAATCCACCCACTAGGGTTGCATCCGCATATTTAATAATTGGCCAGTCAGCACAAGACAAAACCAAGACATATTTAGAACCCAGACAAATAAGACAAAACAGACAGCTATCAATATGAACCATTGCTAATCTGGCATAAATTAACATATATCCAAAAAGCAGTTAATTCGTCTCATTAAGGTCCTTGGGGGAAGTGTGTTCAAAGTATGAGTTTAGTATGACTTTCGTTGGAAAAAATTCAAAGAGTGATACCCCACTGAACTCTAGAAGCAGAAATTGTCCAGAGCACCTGCCTTGCAAAGACTTCTCATTGAGCTGCATTGGGAAGTCTATGATTTTATAACAAGACATGGAGGCTCATATTGCATTTCCCTTTCTTTACTGTCCACCAATAGCAGCAAAGAATACAAACAGAATGAAAAAATAATGAACATACAGTAACATAGGCTCCTACCCGCTCAGCTCCCAGTATAATAGGCAGCACTTCCCTTCCATTTCCCTCTTTCTTTGCTGCTCCGACACAAAGATAAGTACATGTTACACTTTCTCTCTGTTTACTTGTGTATTAACTGCTATTGATATTATTATTGATACCCTGGTATTACACTGTATAGGTTTATCTGTTATTGATTCTTTACTGTTTTCTATTTTATTTATTAGAGACTTCATTATTTGTCTTTTCTCTGCTTGCTTGATGCTTCACATCTGTGTGTTTTTTCCTGTGTGCCCAAGGTCCAGACCTCCCCTGTCATTTACTTCTGTTTATTACCCCCCTTTTTCCTTGTAGTTTTTCCTTTCCTCTGTCTTGCTGTTATCTTTCCTGCCTCTAGGCGCGATTTTGCGCTTGTTTCTCCACTGTATTCAGCTGTTTTCGTGCACAAATTAAGCCCGTTCAGCTGATTCGTCACGTACACATGCTGCTCACTTTTCCCGGCAGATAACACCATTCACCTGTTTGCCGCGTTCGACTAAGTTTTGCACAAACTGCCCGTTCATCTGTTTTTTCCTCTCTTCCTTATACTATCTATTTCCACAAATTCGTTTCTTTTCTACCGAACGTTCGTTTTTTTCTTAACTTAGCGAATTTTCACAATATTTTGCTGCGAATCTCGCGAGCTTGCCGGCGGCTATTTTCTGACTTCCTGTCTTTCTCCCTGCGTTGTGTGTGCGTGTGCCACTGGTCTGGGCCCTGGTGAGATCGCTTTTATTTCTGTTTGCTTCAGTTTTGGGTGACTAACCCATACTATTCTAATATCTAATTAGGGATTAGGTCCTCCACTCTCCATTATGCCTAAACCCAGACTACCTTCTGGATCCCCACCCTCTGGGGAGTCTGATGCCCCATTTATTTTGGGTGAGGCCCCTGTCACCTCGGGCACTTCACCGACCCTGATAGACAGAACCACCCACACTGAAGGGGCACAATTCTTAGCGCTACAGTGCTCAGTGACAGACGCCATTATGGCAGCCATGGGGTCCATGTCATCTACCCTCTCCCATACTATTTCTCAGGCCCTATTGCCACATCCTTCGGACGAGCATTGCTCGGGCTCCACAACGCCTCTATCGCGTCCTCCTGTGGACCCACCAGGAGAGGCAGCCAGAAAGGCTACCCATAAGGCCAAACATCCCTCTGCCTCCAGAAACTCTATGACTGGCATACCTACGGTCGCCCCAGAAAACGTGTCCCATCCACGCAAAAGAGCCTTTCCTCGCCAGGCAGAACGGGTGCGGCTGTGGAAATGTGCCAGAGCACAGTTAGAGAGCGACTCCGACTCAGATATCGTGTCAGGTGGGGAGGCTAAGATTGAATCGGACAGTGACTCTGATATGTATGCCGCAGATGTGGGCTTTGACCTCCTTCCCTTTGCTCAGGCAGAGACATCCGGAGGTGATACAGGGACTAGGCACCCCGCGGCTGCGGGGTCCGCCCTCGTGGATCCGTTGGGTGTCCCACTCTTCAACCCGGATGACCTACACCATCCGAGGTCGGCAGAGTGGCTCCCGGCCGACCACATTGCCACGTACCTTGAGAATTGGGTACAGCGCCCTTTTAGCAAAGCGGCATGTAACAAATTGAGGGCCCAGGCCTGTGGTGCCCAATAAAGCATGTGACACTCCTGAGGTAGACCCCAAAATTACACAGTTCCTCACTAAACTGGGCTGGAATCCCCGTAAGGGGCTAGAATCTGCCTTGAAATCTTGTCAGGATAAACACCTGGATATATTCGGTCCCCTGGCCAAATTGTTTGACTTGGCGGAAGACGCCAGAGCGGGGAACCGCATGGTTGACCCTGAAGACTTACGTGGTTGGGTCCAGAGAGCAATTTGCATTGCCGGGAGCGCTAACACCTCCCTCTCTATAGAACGGCGTAAAGCCATCTTATTTAAGATTGAACCTAAACTGGCCAATCTCGCCCTCACAGAAGCCGGTAATGACGCCCAAGGCTTACCCTTCGGCGATTCCTTTATTAAATATTTAGGGCGTTTTGTTGGGGCATTTATAGCCCTTGACAAGGCCCAAGCCTCCATGAGACGGGTTTTCCAGCGGCAGGTCTCCACCAGGGCCGGCAGGTTCAGGAGCCGTCTGTCTGGCCGTACCTACTTCCAATCCCGTGGCACGGTACGAGGCTCCTTCCAGCAACGTACTAACTACCAGGAGACTAATTGGACACAATGCCGGAGAGGTAGGGAAACTTGGGTAGGACACCAATTTGATAGATGTCTTTGTCCGTCGACTGATGTTGAACGTTACCCCATCTGGGGTGTATGACCTGGCGTCAAAGTCCAGAGCTCTGACGTCCAAGACCCTCTTGCATGAGACAAGGCAGAGCAGGCAAACTAACATGGCTGATAATTGTTTTAAGGAGAGTGCTGAGTTAGCGGGCCAGGATGAGAGAAAAGATAGAACAACAGAGACATCCCAGGTCGTGGAGTAGCGAGGCCTGGGTGGACGGGAGAATCGAGAGCCCTTGAGGAGTCGTCACACTAAGGGGTGTTACCCCGCAGGGCATCCGTCATAGCCTTGATGAGTCGAAGAGATGGCAGACCGGTAGAGGTTGATAGTCCGGTAAGCCTTCCCGCCTCGAAGAGGGAAGTCAGGCTTGTAAAGGCAACAGTCAAGAGATCTGCAATTTTTGTAAGATGTTTCTTGATCTAATTGCAATGAAAAAATGCATGATTAAATGCATACAAGTTTGCATTTGGGTATATCTACTAAACAGTATTTTTTTTGGGTGGAGCCTTGGCTTACACTCCTTCACAGCCAATTCCCCTCTCCCCTACTCTTATTTTTATTTTCCTTTAGGACCCTCCACTCCGTTGCCCTACATATCTTTTAGTCTTTAAGTTCCCTGCTCGTTTATTTAAAGGATCACTATAGGGTCAGGAACACAAACATGTATTGCTGAGACTATAGTTTTAAAACCACCATTTAGCCCCCCTAAAAATAGCAAAATCTTATTGTAGTCAAGCCAGAATCTGTAACTCTGCATGCTGTTTGCCTCAAAAAAACAAGCAGTCTGCTGACATCATCAGAAGTGGTAGCCTGATCCAATCACAGTGCTTCCCCATAGGATTGACTGATACTGACAAAGAGGCAGATCAGGGGCAGAGCCAACATGATTCAAACACAGCCCTGGCCAATCAGCAGCTCCTCATAAAGATGAATTGAATCAATAAATCTCTATGAGGAAAGTTCAGTGTCTGCATGCAGAGGGAGGAGACACTGAATGTTTGGATGCATTTTAGGCAGCCATGACCCAGGAAGGATCTCTAACAGCTATCTGAGGAGTGGCCAGTGAAGTTATCACTTGGCTGTAATGTTAACACCGCATTTTCTCTGAAAAGACGGTGTTTACAGCAAAAAGCCTGAAGGTAATTGTAACGGACTGTTTCGCTCACAAGGGGATAAAAACCGTTTAGGCGATAATCCCCTTCCAGATAGACCAGCAGCTACTGCAATCACCAACCTCCCGAACTCCAACTTGCACGTATTCACCAACTCTCGAACAGCAGACACACGAACCCTGGAAGCAGCCGTACAGGAAAAGCCCTACAAACAGCTTACACTCCTGGCAATCGGCATACAGTCAAATTCCCCCCAAGAATGAGACGACACTTCACTTTGAGGGTTAAAACAGGAACACCCTGTACTGTCACATACAGTCTCTTTTATTCCCAATCCACAAACATAGTACAGCCCACAGAGCGGTACAAAACAACCAATCAATCCGTACAATACACCCAGACACTCCCACACAAAATCCTCCCCTCTGCCTGTGATATGATTACTGAACACAATGGGTAATCTCATTATCACCGGCAGAGGAATACAGTTTTTACACAATATTTATAACTTCTAAAATATACATGTCACAAACATAAAACATACATTTTCATAATCAATCCATTCAGGGGAACAACATATTAAAAAATGGCACGAATCAGACCAGGGGTTCAAAAGTTAAGGGAAAGTCCTTTGTGACTAAATGAAGCATGGCTTTCCGGCCCAAACCAGTTTCAAAGTCTTCTATCCTGGAGATAATTGAGAGTAATTCAATTATCTCCCAGGACAGACACAAGACTCCATTATGCACATGGTGAGCACAAAGCATTAAAATATTATAAAATACACAAAGTCACATTTTATACATAAAACACAGACATGTCACATATCCCCAGATAGCTGGGATCTGAGCGCACAAAACTACCGAATAGCGCTCAGATCCTATTCACACAGTTCAATTGCCATGGAGCCGAAGTCTTTAACTACACGAATGGGCTCCATGGCATAGCTATCTGGGTTAACACATTCACATAAAGTCTGGTCCATAGTCCAAAGGCAAGAGGCGGGCAAGCAGCCCCCTCCAAGGACACGTGGCGAGGCCGGTTTCGCCACAGTAATGATTCTACTCACCAGAACAAATACAATAAGCTGTAGTTGTTCTGGTGACTATAGTGTCCCTTTACAGCCCCACCGTGGCTCTTCAAGGTTCATGTGAATTGAAACCCTGTGCCATTTCCTTTTATATACTCTCCATCTCTTACTAGTATTATTTTATTAGAGCCCCTGTTTGTATTTATTTTTATTCCCCTCACCTCCTCACACTTACTCATATCCCATACATTAGGCAACATATTTTATACATTTTTTACTCCTTTATTATATCTCCTTTTTCTTTATCAATAAACATAATTTTTATCATTTCATATCATTCCTTTTAAGTCCACTATCCCCTTATCTTCTCTCTATTTATTCCAAATCATTGTTTTTATATATAGTTATGTTAATTATCATTGGATCACATGGCTATCACATTTGAAATTTGAAAGTTTGCTCCCTATTTAAACAGTATATGTCCAGGTACCTGTAACACTTTGACAAAGCCTTGTCGCAGGTGAAACGCATCACTGTTATTTCTCAACTAGTTTTATTCACTTGTAATCTTATTTTTATGTAAGAATCTTTTCAATAAACTAGTGAAATTTACAACAATCCTGGACCGTCCTTACTTTCATTTGAAGCCTGTACATCTATTTCCTTGGGGGGGAGCCTACCACCTAAGCCCTGAGGATTGACCAAAACCATTATTGTGCTCTGCACAAGTGAGTACTTCTCCAATATTTTTACTCTTCTTTGAATACAACAGTGAGCACCATATCTTTATTTCTGTTTTAATCTACATATACCACCATGAGAACCTCAGTCAGTTAACAGGATCTTTGAGTGGGGATTGTAGCACTCTACCAAGTGATAGCTCTACAGATTGT